AATTGACACACTGCTGTAATAAAAAAAGTTTGAATCATTTATTTTTCTGTAGCATGTATGAATTGTTTGTTAATAAGACAACAGAAAATAAATTTATATGCTCTTTTCACTTTGAAAAATTTCAAAGGTTTAAATAAAAACATTAAAATAAATAAAAAGAATAAAAAAATCTGAAAGCTTTCAGATTTTATATTACACCCAAAGGTGCATTATTTTAACGTTTTGTGTGTTACCTTTATTTATTAAATATCATGTTCTTGGTATTTAAACTATAAAATTCAATTCAACAGCAATATCACAAAATAATTTTAAAAGAGCACAGCTTTAGAATTTACACAGTCTCGCGCTGTGGAGATATTTTTTTTCCCTTTCGTACAGTGTTGGCATTGCTCGTTTTGAAATCATAGAGTTTGTTAATCAAACATTCGTTAAAGTTTTACAAAATATAAAATGCATAATAAAACAAATTCGAAATTTGGTCTTCCAGATGTCCATACTCGAGTGGAGGACTACGTTATTCAAAATTTAATGTCTCTAGGTACCGTTGTTTTTTCACAATGCAAGAAACATACATATACATTCATATAGATTCTTCATAATTTAATGTATTTAAATATAATGCAGGGCTCTAATATCTGTTGGCAGTAATATGAAAAGTTAAACGCCGTTTATAGTAAACCAACGCTAAATGTCAACACGAAATTAATAACCCTTCTGAGCAAATTGCCCTTTGGCTAATAATTCAGTTTTTTTTTATCTCACAGACTTAAATATTTTCTATCTGATGTACACTTTTCTGAAAATCTAGTATATTACACTTTAAACAAGTGCAATAATAAAAGTAGGAAAGGGATTTCCAAAATAAACTCTCATCATTTTTGCAATATATATTTATTTAAATTATCTGGACTTTTTAAAACTTGTTTTTAAAGTGACAGTAGCCCACCAGCGGTCGAGGAGTAAAGACGCTGAACTGTGGTAGTTCGGATCTGAGGTAGAGAATCGAATCTGGCGAACGGAATGGCTGCAAGGGGGTTTCCGTGGTTTTTCCATCATGTGTAACATGTATACGAGTCAGTTTCCATTACAAAGTCCTCCACGAAGGCCTCCTTCCCCTTAGGCAGATAGCCCTCAGTTCTCTGTCGTAATTACATAAGCCAAACCAAAGTGATAGTGGAGCATCTTGCTTTGCTTCAGTTCACTAATATTTCACTTTTTGATAAGCAGTTTATGACGATGAGTCCAGTGAGTCGATTGACTCCGTTTCTCCAAGCGCATTTGCTTGTATCATGGCTGTGTATCACTTTGTGTTTATTCTAACGATATTTCAATGGTAGTTTTATTAAGATTAATCCAAATAATAATCTTAAAATGGTCCCTAACTAGCTAAAATATTGTGTAAGATTTTTAAGACACTATTATTTAATATCTTTAGCACTGCTTCTGAAAACCAAAATATCATTCCGGTGCTTTTAAAGAGATTTTCTTAAATAATTCTAATTGAGAATATTGAAATATTTTTGTTCGCTTGTGTTTTACAGTATCACGGCATTCTTAATTTCCAAGGCTCACGACTGCCCTACGTTATTTTAAAAATTTTTAAGACCTTTTTAGTTCTTTTACAAAAGGTCCTTCTTTCTTAAAAACCTGGTCTAAATCGCCAAATGTGGAATACCCTAAAACGCTAGCCACCCACATCAAGTAGAAGGTCAGTAGCGTCGACGCGCCACCTGCCGAGGGAATAAAGAGTTGCACGGGTCGACGTCCCTTGCATCCCCTTGTGAAACCTTCACCCACCTCTCCTCTTTCGATTTACATTTCTCGCCGCTGTCACCCACTGGTGTTACTCATACACGCTGCGTTGCCAGATCGGATAGGGGGTCCACTTCGATATTGCGTGCAGACGACTTCTTAGCGCAGTTTTGTACAGGGAGGCCTTGGTAAAACGCCTGAAGCAATTTATGGCGGAGAAATTCCACAAGAAAAGAATGCCATCAACGACGCAATTTTTTGAGGCCAAGAAACCCATGTGTGGGGTAAAAAGAAAAACGTAACATCTTTGATAGCCTTCCGCACTGCCAAGTATTCCGATAAATGAATGCGACTGTTCGCGTTTATGTTAAACTTGAGTTTAATTCTATTTAATGGGGTACTGAGAAATTCAATACGAAAAAATTAAGGGGCATAGGGGAAGTTTGATCAATGTAAATTCGTAAGCGAAGTAGATCTTTTAGTAGTATTACCGAATATTTTCCATTTTAGAAAACCAGCGCAAGCGCTGTGGAAAAATTGAATAAATAAAAATATTTTCTAAAATGATCTTTACTTAGTTGTTAGAAACAATAGATGGAAATAAGTGTTAATATATAGTTTTCAGCCTAACATTTAAAGATATAATTGCGATATGTCATAGCAAAGAAACATGCTTTTCAATAAATTCCGTTGATGAACACGGCATTTCTTTCTTTTTTGTATACATAAAAATATATGCAATAGTTTAAAAAATTCACCAGAATGCGTAACCTAGAAATTTCGGTGGGTGTCGGGAGGGGGAGAAAAGAAAACATTGACCTTTTGTCGTGAATGCGTATAATATTGACACACTGCGTTTTTATCACAAATGAAAGCATTAATGTATTGTACGGACCAAAAGTAACTTAATGTACACTGGATTTTCAATAACTTTCGCATGCTAAATTCAGACAACTCGAGGCATGATTAATACTATATTATTTGTTTAGTATTAATTATGCCTTACAATAAATTTGCCGTAAAAAAGCAGATGCTGTCGACTGCAGTGCGTGTTGACTCGAATGTACTCCATGATTTAAACTTCTGCATCACATCTTCCGAAGATTTGGGGGAAGATGAAAAAAGTACCTTGATTTCCTATCTACTCAAGTCTTAATTATTTGCTTTAGAGATTATTCATTAATATTTTGGAGATTCAACGCAATAGTTCTTAGACTAAAACTTGAAGAAGAACAAAAACTTGTGTAACATTTTGGGAAGCACTCAAAAGTTTTGACGCTGTTAATACGTACCATTTCGTAATTAACATTACGTAAATAAACAAATAAAGTATAAATTAATGATATTTACAATGAGAAATGCAGCAAAGTGTGTGCTTAAGTGACGAAATTGTGGTCCTGCATCCTGTGAGCAGTAAGTAGCCTTAGTATGACATCTTCTGGGACGCATACGTAAATACTCATTACAGTTATATAGCGATCGGTCTAACCTGGCAACTTCTTTCGCCAAATTCTGCTACAAAAATTAGTCGCCCAAACCATCGGCAACTTGGCGATACATCGGCAATTTAGCGAGATAGACATTTTCTCAATCTTAAACCAAGACCTCCTTGTCTTAAACAGACTTGCCCCTGTATTCTTACTTTTCCGGCAAGCTTCACTTCTTTAGATCTTCATATTACATTATACAAAATAAACACAACAACTTCACGTATTATTTCACCAAAATTATTCATATATGTACAGAATTCATAACAATATTGTTTGTAAGAATGTACTTGTAATTATTTTCTCTCCATCTTTCTCTTAAAATACTACAGTTGCAAAGAGTTCCTTTTTATCATGCGCGTTTCCCAGTTATTCATGCACACGTGACATTAATTAGAGAATATAATCACATTTTAGAGATACGTGCACGTGTGTACATGTGCGAGTCCTGAAATTTTTCACCAAAGCTGCATTTCACAAAATACATTTTGAATTTTATGCAGAAAGTTTTGTGCAGTTTCATTCATTTGTTAACTGCTGATAATATTAAATTCAATTTTTACATTTTCTTTAGTATATCCACAAAGCAGCAGTAAACGAAGCAGCAGAAACTCCTTGTTTGTAAATTTTTACTTCCTTGTACGAAGTACAGGAAGTATTGTAATTACGAAAAATTCCGGGTACCATATTTCAACGAAAATATCCATTTTGACCGCTATTGAATGCAATTTAATAATGTTTTTGCTTGACATCTGTACGTAAGGACATAATAAAGGACTCTTTTTCCCCAAACGAGTTATAAAACTGATTTAAAATGTATTCAGAACAGATTTTTTCATGGTATCTGTACGTACGTTCGTTCGTATGTACGTATCTCGCATAACTCGAAGACAAGTAGCCTCAGAACGTTGAAATTTTGTATATAGGACTGCTATAATATATAGTTGTGCACCTTCTATTTTTGTTCAATCGGTCTCACGAAAAGGGGTCACGAAAAAAATGTGTAACTCGGCTCAGTGAGCTCAGCTTTCTTTATTCTTATATGTTGGTAAATTGCGCATTTTTTGCTTTAAAAATGATAGAATTATGTTGTTCTTATGATCCGGTTAAGGTTTTTATGCCTTTAATTAACCTGCATGAAATAATTGTGGAATTATCAACAATTTAAAAGTTGTTTAAGTGCGGCTAAGTCTAATTTTTCTTACCATAGCAGCCATATCTGTTTACATTTGAAACTTAGCAGAATAGTGAATTAAGTCTTTCTTTACTTTCAGCGTCTCTTTTCCGAGTGGGACCAAAAGGAAACTTTAGTCTTCTGCACCGAAAAATCAGCCTTCTTGCCCGCTGGCCGAATTGCATTTTTTTAAATAGAAACTTTAATTTTAATTGTAAAAGTTATTCTTTAAATCGTTTTAACTGTATGTTTTATATTTTTTCATATTTTTCAATTTTTAATAAAAACATTTTGAGGTTTCATGTATTTTTGCCTTGCACGAAGTGACAACTGAATTAATTGAATGAGAAACATATCTCTAATGAAATTCGAGGAAATAAGTTTAAATGAAATGCAGGAAAAAATGCGCATAATTTAATATTCCGTACAAAGGAGCCATGTGGTGTATAATTTAATATTCCGTACAAAGGAGTCATGGTGATGTACACATCAGATATTTGTTATATATTATTAGTTCTTTTCTGATCATTTTTTATTTCTAATATTTTCAATAAAATTTTGTTAATGCTTTTGCCTTTCTTTTACAGTTTTAACAGAAACACCATTTCTTAGATGATTTTCAACATGGAAGGATGTTAAAATATTATTGAAGTATGCAAATTCATTAATCTGAATACTTCACCAGTGTGAATGTAAGTAAACGAAAGTTTATGTCTTATCTGTGCAGCATTGTATTTGACATTTTTGCATATGTTTCAATCCTTCATTCCTTCTTTTGAATTATTTTTCTCTATGAGTGAAATAAATTTGAACAAGCTACCTTTAAACGACCTTCAATGAAAGCATCTTTTCATCAGTCAAATTATCACTGTGCGCTTTATCTTAAATGGTTAACAAATCTTCTTTCGAAAACTCAGCTGAAGACATTCTTTCACATGTCTAAAGTTATAAGTCTTTCTATATATTACTTCTAAAAGTTTAAGAACCGAAAACCTCTCAAAATGTTTTTTTTAAGACAAGTGATTAAAGCACAGAACTGATCATTAAACAAGCTTAACATGAAGTGATTAAAGCACAGAACCGATCATTAAACAAGCTTAACATGAAGTGATTTTGAAATTTGTAAAATTTAAAACAAAGCGAGTTTCTTTCTTTCTTTTTAGTAAACATTTTTATCTCCAGCGCGAGACTCTGTATCGGAAATTCTAAAGATGTGTTTCAATTTAAAACTATTTTGCGATATTGCTCTTGAAAGAATTTTATGGCTTAAGTGCGAAGAACGTGATATTTAATAAATAAAAGTAGCAGACAAAATGTTAAAAAAACGCCCCTTTGGACGTAATTTCATAACCTTTCAGATTTTTTTTTTTTTAATTTTTTTTTTTTTAATTTTAAGCAGTATGTGTATGTATGGAGGATTAGGGAGAAAAATGAAAATTCTCAGTTCTCTGATGCAATTGAATTTAGAGATAAATTAATAAATCGAGTTAGAAGAGAAATACGCAAAAGTAAAAATTAGACAAAACAACAACCATGTGTTTAGCGTAGATTTGAAATGAAATTCTATTTCTTCTTTTTGCAGACTTATTTATATTTTTTGGGTGGGAGGGTAAAATTACTGACAAAGACAAACCTGTACATGTTCGCCTTCGACAGAGTTTCAATTAAAATCTATTCCAATCACAAGGTTGTTGTTTTGCCTAATTTTAAAATAAAGAAATGCTGTCAAATATGAATCGTGGATTGTTTTTAAATTTAATGCAGAAAATTTCAGATTGAATTTTTATTATTTGCATTAAATTGTTCACGGGGTATTATAAAAAGAATAATTAGTATAGAGTTGTAACAGACCTATTTAAGTGTAATTGAACTATTTTATTCACGCCATGAACTCATGAACTGTAACCGAACTATTTTATTTAAACGCCATCTCGTGGCGATATGAAAAAAACGTCAGTCGACCTCCAGCCGCCATGATGATAGCTTACTATGTTATGTTATTCTCAATGTTTGATGTTCCATTTCGTTTATGTTTCATTTTTATATAAATTTCTTTTGTTTGTAACCGTTCCTGTGTGCTCTGTTAATAAATCCTTTTAAAGCTAGCCGGCATTAGTGTCTATTGAGGAACGGCTATATCACAGAGTTTGTTTCTTTAAACACAGAATGCTAGACATATATTTCCAATCATAAAGGAAAGTAGAACTTTTTTCCGAAAGAGACTTCAAAGTGATATGTTGAGTGTTATCTAAAAACTTTTTGTATAATCTCCGAACAAATTCCAACTAGTAAAACAGTCACTGTACTGAAATTAATTAGCAAAGAAAGAAAAACCATAACTGTTAACTTAAGACATAATTCCGTACCTACCATCAAATCAGCGACATAATTCAGTGCACAGGAGAATTAACTTTGGGATCAGCTACAAAAGAGAAGTTGTTCTTTTGGCATCCGAAGATTTTATTTTGATTTCGTGATTAAATTTGTGGTTATATTTATTTGAACTTCTAGCTTTTTATTAATTAAAGCGCAATGAATATTTTACTATTTAAATTCTGCCAAATTCTGTGTTAAAATTTAGTTCTTATTTTTACAAAATCCTTTTACTCAAACAGCCAAAATAATTAGCCCAGAAGGGCTATTAGACTCGAAATGACATTTTACGTCAGTGTACTATAAATGTCCAAACTGTTACCACCAAATATTATCGTCCTGTATTATATATAAAAAAATTAAATAATGAAGAATCTTTATGAATGTATGTATATTTCTCGTACTGTGAAAAACAGCGGTACCTAGAGCCATCAAGTTTTGAATAACGTAGTCGTCCACCCGAATATGGGCACCTGGAGGCCTCGAAATTTGAATTTCGAATTTGTTTTAATTTCTGTTTCATATTTTGTAAAACTGCAATCTAATTTTTAACAAAAAAAAAAAAAAAAAAAAAAAACCCACTCAACGATTTCAAACTGAGTAGTGGCAACACTGTACGGAATGAAATATTTTTATCTCCAGCGCGCGAGACTGTTTATCAGAAATTCTGAAAGTATGCTATTTTTAAATATTTTAAGGGGTGCTACCCCAAATGCTCTCGAAATATGTATCTGTGTGTAAATGAAAAAATATAAAATCTGAAAATGAAAGCTTTCAGATTTTGTTTTTAATAAAATTCTATACTTTATTTTTGGAAAATTTATAACTCGAAGTACCTGTTTAAGACCGATATATAAGGAATAAAGCCTGATGCTTCCTTTCCGGAACATCTTTGTATAATAGATCATATAATTAACGAGACTAGAAAAATTAATTGTACACCCGCACACACACATATATATATACGTATGTATTGTTTCAAAATAACTAGTCATCATTTTGAGATAGAGTGGAAATGATTATGGTTTTATTCATTGTGCTTTGTAACTTTCAATATAATGAATGATCTTTCTTTTGAAAGTTTAAAGTTCCTCCCTCCCAGCATCACGATTAGGAAATAATTCATGTCATGTACTGAATTGAAACTGCTAAGAACGACAAACGTTTACAACACCTGGTTTCTTTTCTGTATTATCCTTTACCTCATACTTTCTTTAATCTTGCATTACAAGAATTTTAATGTTCCCCATCTCAACTTCGGTGACCTATTTTGCGACCCCTCCAGTTTCCTGATGCAATTCATGACTCGTTTATCCATGGTCATCCCAACAGTAAATCTGGGCAACTCTAGTCCATCTTCATATTTTAGGCCACGAAGCTTGGCTTTAAATATTTATAACTAAAACGAGTTTATCAACTTTCTAGTCCATCAGCCTTCTAGCCATTTCTTATATAATTCCTTTCTGCTTCTTATACCCTCCAGACAGAATCCGATCTCTCTGTTTGATTAAATGCGTATTAATACAACATCTGTTTCTTCTGTTCAGAGTGTATTTCATAATGCGTGCAATAAAAGTGAAAGAATGCAAATACATAATGCAGAACTTCCGTAATGCGGGCTCTAGTCTATTTCACAGATCATTCGTTGTTCTCAGAACAGTTTGTTTTAATTAATTACACGAATTTTTAATTTTCTTGTTTAAATAACTTAATCACTTAATACAACACAACATATAATTAAAAAAACTATTAAATTATTGTGCGTGATTATCAATTAGGTGGATGTGTACAACATACTGATTGGCTTGCAATGGTCAGCAAACACATGGCCTATAAACATTAATGAAAAGGAAAAAGTAGCTAAATAATGTCTACTGTTCTTTGTTTACTCCACGAATTATTGCTTAGAATTATCAATATAAGTGACCCTTTGCCAGCGTATGTAAATATGCTAATTTTCTACCTTCAAAAAGAATTTTCACCTTACAGTATACAGACAGCATTATTGTACTCTGTCAGTGGAAATTAACGTAACATACGTGTTTCTTTATATGCTTAGATCTGTATTTAATCGTGTTTACAAATTCTTCAAGGTAAAGTGTCCCTCGAACAATTTTAGGCGTTCAACCTTTTTTTAGACATGGTTTTACGGCATCTCTCTTCTTGATGGAGACGCACACTCACCATCTATCGCCAAGGATTCTTAAACTGTAAACCAAGGGGGTCGCGTGACCTGTAACAGGGATCGCCAAAAATTTTAACAGTTATAATTCTTTAACTTATAATAATAATTTTAAAATTACCAAATATTTTTACACATCTGAAATCTGAAAATAGATAAAGATAAGACAATACAGAGAAAGAAGAAAAAACGAAAACGTTTCGACGCATTCTTTTTATAATATAAACGTTATTTTTGCTTGCTTTGCACGTGACGCTGTCCTTTCGTCTGTTACTTATTTAAAATTTCCCCCATTGTTCTTTGTCTTAAAATTAGAAATTAAAGTTAATGACCTAAAACTGCAACAATATGTTACAGAACAAGTGAAACAATTGACAGTTTCACTCACACGTGTGTGGGATTTGCGCAATCTTATGGGGTCCACAAAATTTTTGTAACTATTATGGAGTGCTGGGGGTTGCGAAAAAATGTCAGTGATAAAAAAGGGTCCCGACTGAAAAAAGTTTAGAAACCTTGAGCTAATCCTATCATCCTCTTGCCTGGGTCTCCCTCTCCAGTCGCACTTCTGATATTTACGTTTATATGATATTATGTTAAAGTTATAATGACACTTCCATTGCAGCCTGCATTTTAGTTCTCTTAATATAATTCAATGCAATTCTTTAAATAAATTTGAATGTGTATAAATCCATAATAATCCTGAACAAACTTCGAAAACAGTTTTTGTCTTTTAAAACCATGAAAGTTTAAATCTTCTGAACAGTATTTAACTACTTTCGTTGAATTTAGCATAAATGAAATAAAATGCCGAATGAGTTTACTGAAAACTAATTTGCAAAAAAAAAAAAAAAAAAAAAAAAAAAAAAAAATGAATTTCAAATTAAAAGATAAAAATTTTTAACTTAAAAACAGTGTTTTATTCACTCAGACAATAAATTGTAGTTGTCACTTGTTTCAGTATAACGGGGAATCTATTAGAGTGCGAAAATAATTTTTAAATGTTTAAATTCGAAAAAAAATTAAAAGAAAAGAATAGGGAGAAAAACAATTTTTAAATTGTCGCTAGGTATTAAAGGATCGATCTTTTAAGAGAAAAAAAATTGTCCCCGGGTGCTGAAAACCCTAGCTACGCCTCTG